AGCATTACCATTTAACCATTATTAAGTTCCTGAGGTGAAAAATAAAGGTTTACTGTGACTTGAAGTGAAACCTCATCAGAATTAGATTTCACAATGATAGTTTTTTTTTCCTGTTTTCTCTTACCCATGTCTCAGTCTGTGGACATTGTGGTAGTGAATAGGTTGTATCTGGCTTTGGTGCTGTACTCCCTACTGAAGGAGACAAACCTGTGGAATGTATCCGATAGATTCCAGCTGACCAGAGGCTTCGTACAGACTCTTCTCAGCTCAGCTTCCGCATTTGGCTCTGCCGTGCTGCACTTCACTGAGGTTAGGACATATCCAGGCATAATTTAAGACATATCAGATGACATATCTACATCTGTTCCTATCTTACATTCATAAATAGATAGGAATACTATAAGATTTGTCTGTCCATTTCAGGAGCTAGAGGAGTTTTGGGCCTATAAGGCTCTTCTCTCAGAGCTGACCCGTAGATTGACTTACTGTGTGCAGGCCGAGCTCATTCCACTCATGGAGGTGGCTGGAGTCATGGAGGTGTGTGTTCTTGCTGCTCATCTTGACTGCCAGTCTCTCTAAAATAACTATGACCAGAACATTTGCTGGAGAGCTCAATTTGTTTGATTTTATTTTTTCTTCTTTCATTCTCTTTTAATTCAGCATCGTGCTAAGCAGCTGTATAACGCTGGTTACAAGACTCTGGCACATCTTGCCAACGGAGATCCACAAATTCTGGTCCAAACTATTGAAAACCTCTTCAAAAGACAAGCAAATCAAATTATTGCATCGGCAAAAGTAAGTACAATATTGCACTATAGAGCAACATTATATTTTCAGCATAGCTTTTCTTTTTAAAGCTGCAGTCCGTAACTTTTTTTGGTTAAAAATTATCTGAAATCAAAATTTGAGCAAGTACATGACCAGCCAGTGTTCAAAACTATCGCCTTACTTTAGCCCAATTCACAACGGTTAACTTATAATAATGTTTTCTAATTTGAGTGGTACGGGTTGGTTTTCGCGCATGGCACTGCAAGGAAATTCAAGCATGGCACTGCGTCATTACGTCACGTCTGTAAACATAAAGAAGTTGTCCCGGCTAATAGATTATTGCATGTGAGGATCCTGCAGGTGGTGGATCGTTTATAGCCTTATCTCACAGCAGCTAGAATAATTCATTTTATAATTTTGATGGCGGATTGTAATCCAGAAAGGATTAATGAAAGGATGTGAATGAAATTAAATTATATTCCAGTTGCAAATGTGCATCTGATTACAGATAGCCTGGAATTACACAAGATCTGTATTTTAAAGGAAACCAGTTCAAAGGGAGAATAATTTGCTTTTTGGGTTAAAATAATTTCTTAATATGAAATTCGAATGGTATGACAATTAGAGATTAGACTGTACAGAAACTGAAATCACACGCTGATACACGCTATACACATGGTCATGCAATGCTGATGTTGTTAACATTAAGAATTTGAGAATAAAGTTGAACAATAACAATAATTTGCACGGTTTGATGTGATATGAGCTAACCGATTGTTACACTTAATCACCATTAGTAGCGTGATTGTAATGCTTTTTTCCTCAGTTGGTCAGAACAAACGTGGCAGACTTGTTACTTACTTGTTCAGATGACAATATATGGTGAAAATTCTTATTTTGGTCATATATTCCAAGACGTAGGCTAGAATCTGTGATTGCGAAGTCCAGTAAATACCCACCCTGGTGCGGTGACTGACAGCCACACATTCACCTCAAAACATTAGATTCATCCACGCTGGATACACGCCGGAGCACAACCCACACAAGGAAGATAATTCGCAATTGCAATTGCACAGCTGCAATTGCAGGTTTTCAAACAGAGATGGCGACAAAGAGGCAAGATTTACGGACTGCAGCTTTAAGTTCATCCAAAATAAAAATTGTCATAATTTATTCACCCTCAAGCCAAACCTGCATGACTTTCATAATTAAAATTTGACTCTTCTGTAGTTACATCGTGTACTAAGACCGACGGAAAATGAAAAGTTGCGATTTTCTAGGCCGATATGGATAGGAACTCTATTCTCATTCCTGCGTAATAATCAAGGAACTTTGCTGCCATACCATGGGTGCAGCAGGCGCAATGGTATTACGCAGCGCCTGAAAATAGTCCCCAGCTAGGTAACTCCCTGTGCAAGCAGGTGGTCACGTTGGTTATGGTGGGCGGAAGTTAGCCTATTTTCAGGCGCTGCGTAATATCATTGCGCCTGCTGCACCCATGGTACGGCAGCAAAGTTCCTTGATTATTACGCCTTGATTAAAACTCTTTGGTTATTTTTGAGCGAGATGCTAACGGTCTAATCAGATTCAATGATCTATGCTAAGCTACAGCTAAAAGTGCTACCGCCAGACCCGGAGATCGGCTGAATGGATTCGAAAACGGTAAAACTCAACTGTTTAACTCTAGGGGAGTTGGAAAATTAGTCTATTTTCAAAAATAGTGGAGTGTTCCTTTAACATCAAATGTTGATGCTGGCCCTCAAAAAGATCAAATCATCATAAAAGCATCATAAAGTTATTTCCTCACATGATCACTATCATATGGCTCAAGAAGGCTACTTTTATTATAGAAAGGAATCCAAGGCACTTCTTCTGGTCCAAAAAAGTAAAAAAAAAAAAAAAAACTTATAGTCCCATTATGGCCATCACAATAGAACTATTTAAAATGACTAAAACACTGCACACTGATGCATTTTGGTCTTCAGCCTTCCTCAGAATGTGTGAAGTCTACTTTTATGACAATTTTGGTGATTCTGAATCCTTTTTGGTCACTATTTATTGTCAATGCATGCAAAAGAGAAAAGACTTACCAGGAAATTATTCGTTCCACGTCAGAAAGTAAGTCATACAGGTTTGGAATAGCATGAGGGTGTGAGAATTTTCATTTATGGGTGAACTATCCTTTTAAGATGTACAGGTGCATCTCAATAAATTAGAATGTCATGGAAAAGTTCATTTATTTCAGTAATTCAACTCAAATTGTGAAACTTGTGTATTAAATCAATTCAATGCACACAGACTGAAGTAGTTTAAGTCTTTGCTTCTTTTAATTGTGAGGATTTTGGCTCACATTTAACAAGAACCCACCAATTCACTATCTCAACAAATTAGAATACTTCATAAGACCAATAAAAAAAAAATTTTTTGTGAATTGTTGGCCTTCTGGAAAGTATGTTCATTTACTGTACATGTACTCAATACTTAGTAGGGGCTCCTGTTGCTTTAATTACTGCCTCAATTCGGCGTGGCATGGAGGTGATCAGTTTGTGGCACTGCTGAGGTGGTATGGAAGCCCAGGTTTCT